TATAATCACTGCCCCTCACACGGGTGCACCCCCAGCTTCTTACTAAATTGCACTTTGGCTGAATGCTCCCTGCTTACACTGAGAAGCACCATAAAACAGTGCATAAAACAGTGCACTTTGGGGTCACTTGTTGAGATGGTTTTGAAGCTCCGTTTCCCTCATTGCTCCGAATCCCCTTTTAGGGATTTTGTCGGGGAACTTCTCAGAACTCCTTGGCTGGGAGGGCTTGGCTATTGGCAATGAGCAGGCTTTCGTCTGATCTGTGTCTGTCTCCCTTTACTGTTGAGGCGTCGGCCCTTGGGTCTTGTTCTTGTGAAGGGAGATGTAGTGTTATTTTATACTTGATTCGCCCTAATGTATGTGTGCACGTGGCAGAAGTGGCAGACAGACAGGTGCTCACCTCTGGGAAGGGAGGAGGATTTGGCAGGGGGAGGGGAGGGAGGTGAAGAGAAACCTGTGCATTTTTACTGTCTCCATGCTCCTCAGCCTTTTTTCCATCACTGCTTCCCCAAAGAAAGTTTTTAGATGTTTTTCCTAATTACCTCTTGACTCCCACCAGATTTAATACAAAGGGACAGAGTTTGTTGGGGAGGGTCACAGGTTACCGTAAGGTCTACGGTTGTTTTCACTCCCACCACAAGAACCCACTGTCATCCCTTTGCGGGGCCGTGTTACCCCATTGAAAATGCACACTCTGCATGCTTCTGCACTGTTTATTTATTATTATTCTTTTTTTAAACAAGTGTTATTTTAGAGATCCAGGAGAAAGGTCATACAGCTAGAAAGGATTGAGCTGCCCTTAAACCAGAGGGTGACTCCACACTGGTTGCTCTTAGCTCTGAGGAGCGAGCCCAGGGAAGGGCAGAAGGCTGAAGCCACCTGGGCCTGAGCGGGAGCCCCAGCACAAGAGGAAGCGGGGGTGGGCAACTGAAGATACCAGGGGGGTGGCAGCAGGACTGGCAGAGCTCTGACTGGCCAGGAGGATGACTGGCAGGAGGTTTCTCTTCACCTCCAGCCCAGATGCCCCAGAGGCTTTTCTGTCTTCATTTTCTTCAACTTTGATTGTGTTTGGCAAGGGGAATGTTGGTGAGCTTTAGTTAGGAGCCTGCAGCGGGGGTTCTCCAGTGATGGTACCAAAGTTGTCCGGACGTGCACCTCCCCGGGAGAGGGGTCAGGAGGCAGGGCTCTGGGAAACGCTGCTGTGCACTTGAGGGACCCAGGCAGAAGGTCTGTGAAAGTAGCTTGGGAAGATCAAATCAAATAAATCTTGAAGAAGAGTAAAGAAAATGATGTTTATAAATAACTCAGGAGAGTGATTTTTTAAAATTATTTTATTATTTCAGAGAGAGAGAACATAACTAGGGGAGAGGGGCAGAGAGAGAGAGAGAGAATATCAATCTCCAGCAGGCTCCACACTCAGCGTGAAGCCCAACACGAGGCTCAATCCCATGATCCTAGGATCATGACCTGAGCCAGAATCAAGAGTTAGACGCTCAACCGACTGAGCTCCCCAGGCCCCCCAGAAGAGTCATTTTTAAACAAATCAGAGTGACATTTCCATAATGTATTAATGAAGTGAGATTAAGTAATCTTTTAAGCTAGTTTTCTTGTCAGCATTTTCTGCCTGATGTTCAGAAATTAAAGCTTTTTTAGATAGAAATAGTGAATAAGTGTTACTGGCCAGACCTTACTTTTTATTTTTAATTGCTCTCAGTCCCTTGATTTTACAAGTTGTGTATATAAAACAGTTAAAAAAAATATCCTCTGTAATTAAAGAATATAACCATATTTGCTTGGGTTGTGTTCTGATACACTTTTAAAGGAAGCACTTCCGATTTCTGTGTCCTGTGGAACAGTGCTGCAGGCCGGGAGCTAAAAGAAAATTTGAAATAGATTTTTTTTTTCCTGGATGATTTCATAGGAATTTTTTTTTTTCTTCTTAAACTCACAAGTACATATTCTGAAATTCTGAATTCTATTTAGCTGGGCTGTCCGCAGAAAGCTCACTTATTTAAAAAAGTGGTATTTGAGGGGCGCCTGGGTGGCGCAGTCGGTTAAGCGTCCGACTTCAGCCAGGTCACGATCTTGCGGTCCGTGAGTTCGAGCCCCGCGTCGGGCTCTGGCCTGATGGCTCAGAGCCTGGAGCCTGTTTCCAATTCTGTGTCTCCCTCTCTCTCTGCCCCTCCCCCGTTCATGCTCTGTCTCTCTCTGTCCCAAAAATAAATAAACGTTGAAAAAAGTGGTATTTGAGTAGAAAAATCCTTGCTGCTCCTTTACTTACAGTAAAATCCTAGGCCAGGAGCAACAGTTACAGGATGGGGATGCATTCCTACTTTTCATCTTTAGATTAGCACTTGGGGTCTTGAGCTTTGCCTGGATGTGCTTATGAATTTTTATCGTGCATGTGCTATTACATTAAGTCTGGAGACGGAGTCGGCCGTCCAGAGAGCTCCAGCTTGCAACTCGTCAGTGGTGGAGTCAGGGTTTGAACCCTGACTAATTCCAGCTAATTCCAGTCCTTGATTTTTCTCTCCTCACTCCCTTGATGAGAACAGTCCACAGGGGAGATGAATTTCTCTCTGGCTTTTCTGCTAGGATATTTCAAGTTAGATCTGTAATCACTTTGTGGTTTGGGGCATGGCATTGAATCTGTCAGACACATTTGCATAAAGGAAACATAAATATGCTTTTAGGAGTTTTTTTGTTGTTGAATAAAAATTTGCCTCATTGGGGCTCATCCCCCCCTCCAAAACACCCCCAGCCCCTCCAGCGTTACTTACATTTTTACGTTTGGAAAAATTAAGAGAATGAATTTCCCTCTAATTTTTGCTGGTTGGCCAAACTGTGCAGACAATTTAGAATGGAAAGAGACCTAGTGCGCTCATTGGATTCAGCCTTCTTTCTGTGTAGACAGGAAATAGATCAGAAGCTAGATGGATTGACTGTGAACTAGGGCCCATAGCAAGATGGGTGGAGGCAGCTCAGAGCCCTGGCCGCACCCCTCCCACCCTAGCCTACCAGGTTTGTCTTCAGATTCGTTGAAATGCAACTCCTAGTTGAGTGTTTTGCTTTTGAAAAAAAATTCAACTGGGAGATTGTTTTCCACAGCTAACACTTATGGAGTGCTGGTTTTTCCTTTTCTTCTTTGCTGGTCCCTTTCCAGCCATAGCACACACACCCCACCCCGCCCACATTTCTAGCTTTTTTTTCTAGTCACCTAGAACCAAAATCTAGTGTGAAAATCTTAAATTTTTTTCTGTCAAATTATTTACTGCATTTTCTAAAGGTGCCATTTATCTAAATAGATATGTCCCCTATGTTGGGGGAGATACATTCATTATGTAAGAATACGTATCTGAGGTGTAATAGGAGTAATGCCTCCTTCCTGCTCACCAGAGGTGAATGTGTCCCGTTGGCAACACCTTCCATCATCACTGCCTCCTTCTTTCCTGTTCCCACATCCAGTAACCCAGACTGGCAGGAAATCAAATAAATGTGGCGTTTTTTTGGGGGGGGATGGAAGTACCAGAGGGCAGGCAGTTAACACACATTGTGTACTAGCTTTATATTGTGCCTGACCTGTCTTTTATAAACTAACCTCCAGGCCAAAATTTGATCCAGGACACCTTGCACAGCATTAGTTATTTTAACATGAAAATGTAAACTCATTGAATTTGCATTTAGAATTCTGGCTAAGTAAATGTGCAGATCAAGGACTGCTTCTCTCTAAATGATACAGTAATGAGTGGAATCCAATGATTCTGCCCTCCACAGTGAAGACGGTGAATCAGAAACCCTGCCCGGCCGCTTGGTGGTGAGGGTTCAGGAGAGGGTTCCCTGTGGAACTAGAACTTGAGGGCCCTCTCCACAACAAACTATTCATTTCAGTAATGAAACCTAATCATGTTTTATGGAAGCAAATGTTTCTGTGTTCATTTCCGTTTCCATAGATGCTGCAACAGTTACAAGCTCATCATCTCTCCATCCCCCTGGGCATGATCTGCGTGTTGCTGGCATTTCACCTGTGTGAGAAGAAAAATGACACATAATCTCTTCTTTCCAGCTGTGTTCTTCTTAATTGGTTGACTGACCTCTTTAATATTCCTAGGACAAGGAATAGCTTGAGAACTGGTTTTTAATAATATTTTGTGTAAATTTTATTTTTTTTTAAATTGAGGTTTCTGGTCTTATTATGAAGAGATCTTTGAAAATCTGTGTGTAGTAGGTTTTAGCGTGTATAATAGTATAGGATCTATGTTTGTAAATTGCCTTTATCATAGAATTCTGTTAAGTAAGGAATTTTTCTTTTAGTTGTATTAAATGTTTGGAAGTCAGGTAGTATGCTAGGTACACTAAGAGTCTAGAAGTGACTCCTGTGAGTTTATAGGATATAGACTACATAAACAGAGCTTCTTAGTGTAAGTTGTACTTACAGTACAACGGTCAGTACCAAGGAGTGCGTGCATGTGTGTGCACATGCACATAGTGTGCATTTGGCTGAATAGAGGCGTAGAAACACCAGAACCCTGCAAGCAGCAAAACTATTGGCCGAGATGCGTTGGCAGGTTAAGACACTGTGTAAAACAGGTGCATGTGTCAGAATCCTGCCATTCTCTTTTTTGGGAATTTGGTGTTTAATGACTTAATCTTTGAAATTTAATATGACGACTGCCATACTGTAATATGCTATTAACTCTTGTCACTTCCTGTGTGTCATGAGTGGAAATCTGTCTTGTTTTGATCCATAGTTTCTCCTTCTCAATCCCAGCTTCTCTCCCTGTACTGTTCACATTTTCTCTAAGAACCGCCTTAACCAAAATTTTTTATTAGTTACTGAAGCTGTAATAGTTGGTTAGGTTTGCCAGTGAATTCCAATGAGTGTAATTTACTGCATGTCACAGTTGTGGTCTTAATGGATAAGAAAAGTAGAGCAAGCTGAAGTCAGCAGTTTTTGATGCTTTAATGAAAATTCTTCCAAAGTTGGTTAACTTGTATTTCAGATCGCTTCCAAGTATGATCATCAGGCAGAAGAAGATCTTCGAAACTGGATAGAAGAGGTGACAGGCATGAGCATTGGCACCAACTTTCAGCTGGGCTTAAAAGATGGCATAATCCTCTGCGAGTAAGTTTTGGCCGTTTCTGTTCTTCTGGTCCTTTCCACAAGGCTTCCGTGCTGTCCTCCTTCCCAATCCAGGGTGTCAAGCCTTAACATTTCAGAAATGTTTTTAATGCTTTCTTACTGATGTTAAAGGAGCCAACTTTACATTCCAGTCCTTGTTTTCGTATGAACAATAAATGTCACCTGTACTTTACTTTTCAGACTCATAAACAAGCTACAGCCGGGCTCAGTGAAGAAGGTTAATGAGTCCTCGTTAAACTGGCCTCAGGTAAACAGCTGAACCTGCAACCTCTGGTTATTCTTTATGCAGCGAATGTTTGATTAAAGTAGACATCTTAGCAGAAATTAATGCACGTGGCTATATTTTATTTTTTACTCTGCTTCCATAATTACTTAGAATTAGTTCTGTGATTATTAGATCCTTAGAAGTTGTATTTAGTCTGTCAACTCTTGGAGAGGATTTGACACAGCTTATACAGAGAAATACAATCTAGACCATATTGATAAACGAGGGAAAAAGCAAGGAGTTTAACAACTAATGGTTGATTGTAGAACACCATATTAGGCAGTCTTAGTTCACAAATGGGTGTGGTTACATAAAATTGGATATTTTGACTATATATTTTGAGATAATAAATTATTAAGGTGAGTAATCCTGTACCTTTTGACAGAATTTTAGCCTTGGATAGCTCAGACAGAATCACAGAATTCTTAAAACTATCTAAGGAAGATCTTGCCTTCAAAGAACTGAAAAAAAAATGACTACGTAAAAATAAAAAGACCATTATGTGACCTACTGTAAAATACTATTTACTCTTTCCGTTTCCAGACAGAGCTGTGCTTAGTATGTATCTGGTCAAGACTCCTTGCCAAGTAACTTTCTGCCTGGCATCTTACAGTAGTCACGAAGGCTTATAATGTTTAGATAATGTGAATGTCAGTGTTCAGCTCCCAAAGTTATATGGCTCTTTTCCTTTATAGTTGGAGAATATTGGCAACTTTATTAAGGCTATTCAAGCTTATGGCATGAAGCCACATGACATATTTGAAGCGAACGATCTTTTTGAGAATGGAAACATGACCCAGGTTCAGACTACACTGGTGGCTCTGGCAGGTCTGGTACGTATATGTCTTTAATGGCTGCTTTTAAAAGTCCCACCATGTTGGTGATGAATTATGTCTTTTCTTTCCCATGGGAGTTCTGGCTAGGCGGGGAGCAGCCTCTGTCTCCTCCATAATTATTAGCTTTATGGAAAGGCTGCTGACATCAGCTGCCTCATATAAGAGAGCTTAATCAGAACACTTAACATTTCAGAGCCACAGGTATTACTGACTGGCCTTAAATATGTTTTTCAACCCCTCAGTTTGAGTATTACCTAGTGAAGCCTTCATCTACGGACAGTAGCGTTTCTTTGTTGTTCCTTCTGTGAAAAACTATTGGCAGAATCTCCACTTCAGTGTTCCTTTTTAGTTAGTGTGCAAATTTCTGTCTAGGCTAAAACAAAAGGATTCCATACAACCATTGACATCGGAGTTAAGTATGCAGAAAAACAAACAAGACGTTTTGATGAAGGAAAATTAAAAGCTGGCCAGAGTGTAATTGGTTTGCAGGTAAGCAACGTGTTACTGCTTGATTCGGTATTGTCAGTTCTCACCATGTAAAGTGTGTCTCTCATAAGTAAGGAATGGATGAGATCCATGCTAATGTAGGTTTTGGGGATGGATATGTGGTTTATATAATTTACGTCCATTCAAAGCCCCTGAGACATTGATGATGGTTTCAGAAGAAACCTCAGGCATGCCATCAGACTTGACAATTGTTTCTCTAGGAAATGACTTTTCCTCCCTAATTACATTGTCTTTATTTTTTTAAGAAAACGTGTTTTATAAATTCCTAAATGATACTGACCAAATGAGGCAATTTTATAAAACCTCAATGCCGAAGTCATTTATTTGCACAATACAGCAGCCAAGCACTACTGGAAGTACTTAGTGCAGGTATTTTTTTCCCCTTCACATCGTTCCCCTGGAGAATGTCACGAAACCACCACTGAGAAGTGTGCCCTCGCGGCCACTGCATCATGTGAGGTGGATTTATTTTTGTACACTACAAAATCGTATCTGGTAAGAAACTGGAAACCTGAAATTCCAAACAGTAGTCAGTTGGTTAAATTATAACCGCACAGAAGGAACCAGAGTAAGGTAAAAATGATACACAAGAATTCAAAGATTAAGGAAAACAAATCAGGTTACAAAATACAATGGTCAGTGCGATCACGATTTTACTTTAAAGATGCACATGCCTATTTTTGAATGTACATGTATTTACATGCATGTGTATTGATAAATATATACCCAGGTAGAGAAGATAAAGCCTAGAAGGACACACACAAAGGTTTACAGCTAATATCTGGGTGGTAGGATTGTAATGATTTTTTTTTCCTCCCTTCCTTTTTAAGGAAAAAGACCCATCAGAAATGTGTCCCCAGCTAATAGAACTGGGTATATCGGTTGGCCTTAAAGCCATGTTCTCAGTGGAGAAAAGAATTCTTGTTCCTCTGAATTTGGTTGAGTTCACATTCCTCACTCTTTCTCTCCAGTGACATGAGAGTTGGAGGAATAAAATGTGGTCCTTTTCCCATGAAGATGCTGGTGATCTCAATGAGACTTTAAAGAAGCCCTTGTTGAGCTGCCAGAGAAGACACCTGGCATTTGCTGTCACTTTTTATACAAACCCCTGGAGTAGAAAAGCATGCTGCCTAGTCAGAGTGCCTCTGTCCCTTTAAGTGGCTGATGCAGTACCTCTTAATTTGGTTATCTGTGCTGTATAGACAGTAGGAAGAAGAGGAGCAGGGGTAATTATTCATAATTCTGCCCTCTAAAACCTTGTTTGAGATTTTTCTTTTTAAAGTGAGCACCTTGGGGGCGCCTGGGTGGCTCAGTCGGTTGAGCGTCCGACTTCGGCTCAGGTCATGATCCCACGGTCTGTGAGTTCGAGCCCCGCATTGGGCTCCGTGCTGACAGCTCAGAGCCTGCTTCGGATTCTGTGTCTCCCTCTCTCTCTGACCCTCCCCCGTTCATGCTCCATCTCTCTCTGTGTCAAAAAAAAATAAATTAAAAAAACGTTAAAATTAAAATAATAGAGTGAGCACCTTGAGAGTTGTGAAAGCATGGAGATTTTGTATCTAGCTAGCCTCAGCACAAAAAGGGACTTGTCAATTGTGCCCCTCTGTCTTTTTAGTAGAACACAAAGTTTTGCTTGTCATATATGGTGGTGACCTGTGATAATCATTGCTAATTTTAACTTCAAAGATGGGAACCAACAAGTGCGCCAGCCAGGCAGGTATGACGGCCTATGGGACCAGGAGGCATCTTTATGATCCCAAAATGCAAACTGACAAACCTTTTGACCAGACCACAATTAGTCTGCAGATGGGCACCAACAAAGGAGCCAGCCAGGTAAGCAGTGCCTTTTTATACTTGGAGCAGAGTAGAGAAGGATCATTTAAATTAGCACTTAACTTACTCTCTTTTTAATGTTTAATTTTTAGAGAGGGAGCAAGGCGGGGGGGACATAGGGCTCTGTGCTGACAGCAGGAAGCCTGATGTGGGGCTTGAACTCAGGAACAGTGAGATCATGACCCAAGCTGAAGTTGGATGCTTAACCAACTGAGCCACCCAGGCATCCCACACTTAACTAAGTTCGAAGGACTTATTTTTTGTATGGTATAAAGTACATTCCTTCAGGAAAGTTGGTTTTGCTGAGAAAGCAAAAGAATCAGAGGACCTTTCTATAGGAACACAAGTATGGTGTGTTGGCAGTCAGAACAGCTGGTCTTTCCGTCTAACCAGAAGAAAAGAGATACGTTTATTACAGCAAGTTTATTTCTTGCTCCAGATCCAAGTAAATTGCTCCTTCTAATGCCTCTGAAACTTGGTAGGTAAAATGATCTGGTGTTCTAAGGAGGAGTTAGGTGGGGCTCTAGCATGGTGAGAATGCCAGCATTCTAACACCATGCAAGATGGAAGTATTTCCTTGTTAAAAATAGATCAGCCCCTCATAGGGAGGTTCCCATAACCACTGGAGAGCAGGCAGGGCTCACATCCAACAGGAGTGGGGGATAAGGTTTGAAAAAGCTTTCTCCTTGTGACCTAAAGTTGAGATGTCCTGCCACATGTGGCACTGTCTTGTTTAGGAGCCATTCAAGTTTCCTTTTTTATCAGTTAAACCTGGACTGTCTGCTTGGCATAAATGGAGAAATGAGTTACTGTACTTGTGGCTGGCTCTTTGAGACTTCAGGCCTTAAGGACTGCTCGGCATAAGTTCTGCTGAATGTGTGATGAGCTTCTGAAATGGATGGCCTGGAGAGTGTATGTGGTCATAATAGGTACTCACATGTAACTCTCCAGGGTGCCCACATTACGCTGTGCTTTTTACATTGGTTATGTTGAATCCTCTCCTAAATCCAAAGTAGGTGGTATTTTCTCCATTTTGCATATGAGAAACCTAAAACCAAAAGTATTAGCTTGTTTAGAGGCCACCTAGCAGTTTTATAGCAGAGCAAGGATTTAAAGGAAGGGCTGACCTAGTTTGAAAGCCAGTGAGTATTGGTACTTAAGAAAGATTCAGCATCAGGACTATTTGGTAAGCTAGCTTTACCCCTGAAATGAAGTTATTATTACATTAGCGTTCACAATGTGAATTTCATAACTTAGAAAATGTTCAGCAGAATAGATTTTAGCTGCTGTTTTAACTTTTATACTATGTTCTAATACCAGGCGGGAATGTTAGCACCAGGTACCAGAAGAGACATCTACGATCAGAAGCTAACATTACAACCGGTGGACAACTCGACAATTTCTCTACAGATGGGAACCAACAAAGTTGCTTCCCAGAAAGGAATGAGTGTGTATGGGCTTGGGCGGCAAGTATATGATCCGAAATACTGTGCCGCTCCCACAGAACCTGTCATTCACAATGGAAGCCAAGGAACGGGAACAAATGGGTCTGAAATTAGCGATAGTGATTATCAGGCAGAATACCCAGATGAATATCATGGAGAGTACCAAGATGACTACCCCAGAGATTACCAATATGGCGACCAAGGCATTGATTATTAGATTTACACAGAGGAGCTCAGTATTTAGCCCGTTTTTATTCAGTGAGAACCAAGCTAGCCTTGAGTAATTTTTATCTTGTCTTCCTAAAACACTATTATGCTTATTGTACCTAAAAGAAATATTGCCTTACGTACATTCCCTTTTCCTTTTTCTGCCTCTTCCCTAAATAGTTCCCTTTTAGTGCTGTAACAGTTAAATCCTACAGCAGAAGCAATAACTCACATATGAAGTAAAAAGGAATACTGTGAAAGGGGAGTACTCTTGTACAGCCAATTCTCTTATTAAAGACCTATGCATTTTTACAATCTACTTACTAGACTGGGATTTTCAAACAATAGGAAGCTTTTTTTTTTTTTTTTTTTTTTTTTTTTTTTTTTTTTTACAGTTATCTGGTTTCTATGTGGAAGACTAAAGTCATGCTTAGAGCTAAATGTGGTCTTTGCCAACTAAATTTAAGATGCAGCATTTTAGAAATTTACATATCAATGTCTACAGTATTGTTTGCTAACTTTTAAATAAAGTCCTGATCCGTGTGCATTTGTGATTATATGTGTACTCATTCTCTTACCTAAACCGACAAGATCTTTTCAGAGTGGTGTTTCTAAAGGAGCGTGTACAAAATCGGCCTGCAGACAGTTAGGTCTGGGTGGTGTGTGTGCTCTTCCTGTTTGTGCCAATGTATCAATGTAGAGTTGCTGTTCCCTTCAACTGTATTTATTGCTGCATTTCTCAGCATAAACTTATCCCGTTGTATTTTTTATAAATAAATATTTTTTTTGAACATTCATATGAGCCACAGGCTGATTATTTTCTGGCTAGCTACCAGATAGGTGAAGGCAGATTTTGTTTAAAAAGTCCTCTTTCCCAGGTCTTATAAGATACTTTATCATTTCTTTACTTAATCCACACAACAGTGCACTCTATGCTGGAGACTGAGGCTTGGGAAACTGTAGGGACCTGCCCATCATACACAGAAAAGGACAGCCAAGATTCAAACTAGTATTTGACTCTTATTTGGCCCTCGCTTACTCCATCGAGACTCACATGCCTCAAAAGCACCTTAAATCCAACTTGGAATAATCTTCAGATCATCTTCAGGAACATTGGTGGGGACGGGGTGGGAGTATTTTATATTCATACCCCAAGGTGGATATACATCAATAAGGAACTGCTGAATCTGGAATAGGATATACTTTTATGGTTCTGGTATTATAATGGCCAAACAATAAGGACAAAGACAGTGAAGAATAGGGTCTATCGGCCTTACCATTTATTCTGTGAATGGCTCTTAGAAGAAGGACACTTTCCAGGGGCAACACTCTAATGGGCACCTATCACACAACGGGCTGGAGTTCTGTTCCCTCCTCGTTCCTTAGTGAGTTCTCCTCCCCCTGTGCCCTCGTGTCTTTTAACTTGTTGATCCTTTTTACAAAACTCTGAAAAATAAAAGAATGAGTTAGACCAGTGTTAGCTATCTGCACCAACCGCAACTATTTATTTGACCATACCATTTAGGGGAATTTAATCCTTAAAGTTTTCCCTGTTGAATTCAAGTTTTTTAGGGGGTAGATTCCCAAGTGGATTTGTAATCAGAAAAGTATAAATCTGAGAAAGAAGCCTCGGTTAGCTTCCTACCATCATCGGGAAGAATTTCTTTAGGCTAGATACAAATAAAGTGCTATTGTATTTTTAGGTTTTCTCTGGAGGAGGTGGGAGAATCTATTTGATTGTAAAACCATAGATGTGCTTGTTAAACCTCACCGCCTGGCTGAGCCACGGAGTGCTCTGAATGCTGTTTAAAAGCAAAGGGGCTAGGGGCGCCTGGCTGGCTCAGTCGGTGGAGCATGAGACTCTTGATCTCAGGGTTGTGGGTTCGAGCCCATGTTGGGTACAGAGTGTACTTAAAAATAAAATCTTAACGGGGCAGCTGGGTGGCTCCGTTGGTTAAGCGTCCAACTTCAGCCCAGGTCATGATCTCACGGTTTGTGAGTTCGAGCCCCATGTCGGGGTCTGTGCTGACAGCTCAGAGCCTGGAGCCTGCTTCAGATTCTGTGTCTCCCTCTCTCTCTGCCTCTCCCCTACTTCCACTCTCTCTCCCCAAAAATAAACACCAAATAGTTTAAAAATAAATAAAATCTTAAAAATATCAAATGGGCTTTAACACCTAGGTTTTATGACAACAGAATAAAAGTACTAAAACTCACTTGACCCAGACAACCAAGAGACTTCATTCAGTTGTTAAAATATCCCTGTCTACTCCTGATAAGACAAATAGGCAACGACTGTGTTGGAAACAGCTGCGTGCTATTTCCAGATAGAAGCTGTAAGGGACTTGATAGGGTGTGGCTTTTCCTGCATCGGTGGGGCCTCAGTTAATAAAAGGCCTGAGAACCTCAGATCTGTCAATACTGGCACAGATGGTGATGTGTGTGCCCCCTAAAACACAAAGGGTCTGTTATGACGCTTGAGGAGGCAAAAATGCTTTAGAGAAAGATCAACCGTTAAACCTCCAGACCACCCAAAAAGCCGGACCCGGCCAACAGCACCAAAGGGACTTGGACTGCTCTGTCCAGAACACCTGCCCAAGGTCATTTGGTCCGTATTAATTGTTCAGCTTCACTTCTCTCCAGGGAGAGTTTCCAATAAGGGAAGTGGGTTCAGCTCAGAAAACAGAACCCAAATCTCACTCTAGACCTTCAGGCCAGTGGCAGAAGCACACAGAGCCCTCTGGAAGAACGAACGAGGCTAGGTACAAGCCTCCTTTACGTGTGAGTCTTCAACACTTTTTGAGATTTTGAGGATAGAGACTGCAGCAGGAAGTGAGACGTCTGCTTACCAAAAACTCTTGGTCCATAAAGTAGGGCTTTTCCGACGATCCATCATTTGTTTCCAGATCAACAGCAAAACACAGGAAGAGTGCATCCAGCACAGTTTCAAACACAGATAAGAAACTGTGGGCTACAAAGTAGGCAAAAAAAGCAACCAGCAGCAGAGGGACTGCCCACACCTGGAGGGCACGGTTGTAGTTAAATGCCATCAGTCCTCCAAAAACAGTGAGACACATCACCAACACCTGGCAAAACAAGACTTCGCTGAGAACCTTTATAAATTGGCCAGAGTATTTGAGAAATGCTTTCTGTCATTTACAAGTAGTAGTTTCATATACATGCGTGTGTGGGTGCCCTGTTGTAAAGAAGGCTTGTCAGAAAATGTGGTCCAATGAAATTAAGAAAAAAAGGAGCTATGATACCACAAGACGACCCAGTTAATTCAGAGTAAGGATAAGAGAGTAGATGTATTTACATTTTTTATCTGTGCCTAGCTTTTGTATTTATATAGATGTCATGAAAGCTGAAACTTTTTAGTTTTTTCACGTGCCACTCCCATAAGCATCTTCATTTAATACTTTTGTTGTTGTTGTTGATTGATTTTGAGAGCGTGCGTGCGTGTGTGTGTGTGCACAGGCTGGTCAGAGGCAGAGAGACAGAGGGAGAGAGAATCCTGATGCAGGGCTCAGTCTCACGAACTGTGAGATCATGACCTGAACCAAAATCAAGAGTTGGACGCTCAACCAACTAAGCCACCCGGGCGTGCCTTCATTTAATACTTTTTAATAAGTGCCATTTTTAAATAACAGTGCAACAATCCACTGGGTGGGTATACTGTAATTTAATATGTGATTGTTTTTACCCTAGGGATTACTGGAAGGGCTTTCCAGTGCTGGTGTGGGGAGATAATAGGATTAATCCAGGCTTTTGCCATATGTAATTATATTTCCAGCAACATGATTACGGACCATGATGTTCCTTTTTATATTTTTAAAAAAAATTTTTATACCTAATTCTTAAACAAATAAAATGGGGTATGGAGTCCATCTGGAATCCCCGTTGCCCTCGGATACCCACAAAGACGGACATGAATGTCCGAATGGGACTTCGTTCAAAAACAAAAAATCACTGGTTGTTACATGCTCACTAGAAGCTTATTAGCAATTACATGTTCCTTATGGGAAATATAGGAAAATGAATTATTACCTAAAATAAAAGATAATTCTGTTATAAAGATGAAACCTCATTCTAAAATTTTTGGAAGCAGTTATTAGAGAACATCTTACCAAACTAACATAGGCAATATTATCCATTTAAAAACAACTGCAACTTAGATGATTTAGGCTGTCTTGAAAGGCATAATCAGTTTGAGCTACCGTTGCATGAAAAATCTCTGGGGGCCCATCTGAGTCTTAAAATATATGTGCAACACACACACCTGTGAAATCCGTGCATGTTATAACTTGTTACTTAATACACCAGAGACATTTACCAAACACCACGGAGGCACAAAATGCTAAATGAGCCAGGAGTCCTCACATTTGGCTGTGGCTGGGTCACAACTGGAGACCAAGATCTTGTTCACTTTGGGGCACCACTGAAGGCCTCAGCATTCACGTCCTTGAGAAGGAATGGTTGGAAGGAGCCAGGATGTCTAGCTTGGAATAGCACAGACGTGGCAGGAAGGTCAGGAGGTCTGGGGTCAGGGATTCGAAGGGCAGGCAATCAAGTGGAAGTGAGATCAGGCAAACAGGTGTGCAGAATTAGGCCCCGTGGGTGACAATCACAAGCAAAGGGACACACCATGTGGTCCAGTGTAAAGAACCTTCAGCTTGAAGCATGGTCAGTTAGAGGCTATCATACCAGTTGCATCCATATTTTAGTTAACCTAGAAAGGACACGTGTTATCTTTGGTCCAGCCTGAGGTCTGGAGTTGTTAAAGACCCCAAGTTCAGGCCTTGTCCTTTACACGTGAGATAGAGCTCTAAGATGCTCGTTCACTGCACTGCACATAAGACTACACACAATTCCTTGAAAAATGCTATTCAGATGACAGTGGAAATGTACCTCTGGCTCCACTTGGGACGTTAACAACCTGCCTTTGTATTTATGGACTTAATGCCTTTAAATAATCCAGACATTTCATTAGGTTTCAGTACTATTTCCATATGTTTTATGACAGAAGCCCCCCAAAATATATCCATTTAATGAGGCTAGTAGCATTTTCATTTTAGCTATGAAAAAGTGGGAGCCAGAATGATCTAGAGAACTGAGCATTGCCGAGAGAGAAGGGTTAGGATGCAAATCCTGACTCTACCCATTGTGCGATCCTGGACAAGTTATTAAGCCTTAGTTTTCCCATCTGCAAAATAAGTTACCTCACAGGACTAAGGATTAAATGAGAGAATAAGGCACAGCATCCACTATAGAGCAAGCACTCAAGAAACGTTTGTTCTCTTTCAAGTCTAGCTCTGTGGCTTAACGTCTGGATCACAAGTTTCTCTATTTATTATTTTAGTGAGGACATCTCACCTTTCCTAGAAAAATTATGAAGTCTCCAAAGCAGTTAACAGATGTGAAATGACTTGAATTCTTGGATAAGAGTTTGAGCGCATCTTTTGCTGATGTACAAAAATCTGTCCCATTAATGGCAGTTGCAGCGTACGCATTCTGAAACAAAAGACAATGGTGAAAAAGATGATGCTTCTTATATTGTTTTAGAGACAATATCATGACAATACAGAATAGTTGCAAAATAGAGAAAAATGGTTGCTATAAACCCACCATCTCTACCCATAATAAATCATTTCAGTTTCAAAGTCACCTTCCGGTCTCTGGTTATATTCACATATATTTTCACATAGTTGCAGTAAATGGAAAAATAAGTATTTCTGGTCAATACGGTGTGGATGGGACATCGCTCTACAAGCCTGGAAATGATAGGTAAAGCAGAAACTTTTTTAATGAACGGCAGAGTTTGAGGGCAGAGAAGGAAGTTTAGGTGCTAGAAACAAAGCAGACCCTAGCAATTAATGAGACATGAACCCACAGGCTCAACGGGAAGGAAATCAGTAAAGGCTTTAGAGGTTGGGGCTGGAAACTTAATCCCTTAGGGGTAAAAGACAATATTCAGGCCCTTGTTAGGGAACTGAACTCTCAGCATAAATTCAGACTCAACCAACTATCCCGGGAAAGTGGTACAGAAATACACTATCTGCCTGGGGCCATTGAAATTACTAGAGTCTAGGCAGGGGCCAAGCAAAACCACATCCTCGTAGGCCAGGGAATGATGGAGTCCCACAGACAACCACCCTTGAAGACAGTGAAGTAATGCTCATAGGAAAATTTCAGATGGCCCAGGCCCAAGGAAAAGAACACCACAACAAACAAGAGAATCAGTACCCTGAAAAAAAATCTGAAATATTCAAGAAAGTGCATTTAAGATGCTAAAACAATGGGGTTGGGGGGCACCTGGCTGGCTCAGTTGGTAGAGCATGAGAGCATGCAATTCTTGATCTCGAAGTTGTAAATTTGGGCCCCACGTTTGGTGTAGAGATTACTTTAAAAACAAAATATTTTTTTCCTTTTTTTATGTTTATTTTCTGACAGAGAGAGAGAGAGAGAAAGACACAGAGTGTGAGCAGGGGAGGGGCGGAGTGAGAGGGAGACACAGAATCAGAAGCAGGCTCCATGCTCTGAACTGTTAGCACAGAGCCCGATGCGGGGCTCAAACCCACGAACCGTGAGATCATGACTTGAGCCGCAGTCAGATGCTTAACTGACTGAGCCACCCAGAGGGCTACTTTAAAAATAAAATCGGGGCGCCTGGGTGGCGCAGTCGGTTAAGCGCCCGACTTCAGCCAGGTCACGATCTCGCGGTCCGTGGGTTCGAGCCCTGCGTCGGGCTCTGGGCTGA